GGGGGAAGCCGTCCTGCTGAGAGGAGGCAGGTTTTTTGGCTGGCTTTGCAGTTGTTCCGCTGTTGGAGAGGCAAATGTGAAGGGAGAAGCCGCTGGCGCTAAGGCCGCGCAGTGGTGTTTCTCTGTGGCGTGTTTCTGAGCTTCCAGTGGGATGGGGGTGCCCACTGGGGACAGTGGTGCAAGCGTCCACGCTGTTTCCAGTTCAGAGTGTTGTCACCCGGGCCCGTCGTTTTGCAGCTACTTGCAGATTATGCGGGTAACGCCACGTTCAAGAATTGCCGCGTTTCGGGAGTGTGTCTTGTCTACTCCGTCCCCGCAGCAGCAGGTTTCCTGGTTCAGTGGATCTCTTTAATGAAATTGCAGTGTGCTTTCTCGTGGTAAACGTGGTATGTCTGGGGAATACCGCGAGATTGACGGGAGACAGCACTGCTCTCCCTTCCGTCGGGCTCGTTAAGGAAACGGGACTAAATGAGATCCCGCGGCCTGGCCATGTGCTTACCAGTCCCGTCCTTCGCCACCCCAGAGCTTTTGAACCTGTTGTCCACGTATAGCCCCGTTTAAGCAGAGGGGTTGAAGTTTCATGAAAAGTTAACACTGCTAAAGATTTCTGAGAAATGAATGAAGGAGGATTATGCAGAATTCAGCCAATATATCTGCTGACCAAGGACATCAGAGGAAGGGGAGGGATAGAACTATGGTTAATGATAATAGTGAAGTTAAGAGATACAAGACTCAAAACCTGAGCTGGTCACGGAACAGTCTGATTTAGCTGCACATTACTATATTTGAGATTTTTTAAAGGTGATTTTTTAATCACCTTTCTAGTACAAGACCTCTATATCTGATCAGGAGTGTTAGAAATGAAAACATTTTTAGATTGGCAGGTCTGTTTATGTAGAATACCAAAGTGCAATTCTCGATACAAGACTATTAAGTACCAAGCTCGTACTATATTTTTACTACGAACTGAGCCAGTCTTGACCCACTAATGAGAATTACAAAATTACTCAGGTATCGACTAAGATGTTGGTCTTAAATAAGATGATCCTGACAAATGTCCTCATTCTTTATTGAAATGCATATCTTGATACAAGGCAACATTTAGAGCTGTACCTTCTGTTTCGGGAAAAGTTTAACAGTGGCCACCGAGTCTTCCTTTGAGCAGGGAGCAATCCTGAAATCAGGACTTGATTTTTCAGCCTTTGCAGAAATCTGTCATATTTTTTTATATTAAAATCCACAAGGCGCTTAAGTTTAAAAAAGATTTTCAGAATTGGTCTAATTCTCCAACTCCATTCCTGCAGCGATATTTTTGAGATGCTGGTGTTTCAATTGTGTTTCAATGTGATATCAGTGATTGCTCTGTTACATTCAAAGTTGTACAGAATGCCTCAGTTGTCACTGGGTAAAGTGATTTAAATATTTTTCCATTTTTTAAAAGCTAGTTGATTGAGATTCTTGAAATCCATAAAGGAGAAAAAATTTCATTTTCAATAATCTGTCAAATCATCTAACAGTAAATATGTACCTACATTTACATGTTATTTTGCGTATTTCTAATTTTTAAATGTCTTGATATCTTGAAAGTAAGACATTGTATCAGTCTGAAAGATCAGTTAGAAGTACTGACTATCAGTTAGAAATATTGAATATTACTGATAGATTGAAATATCTATCAGTAACAATAAAAGGAAGATTCCAGTTTCAGTCAATGCAAAGATAATGTAGTAACTACTCTTTTGGCTTTCCTCGCAAATCAGAGTCTTCAAGTCCTTGGAAGAGAGGACTTTATAAATTACTTGCAGTAGACTAACTGCTTACATTTTTATAGCAGTTTCCCTTTAGTTATACAGTTTAGCAGTGTATGTGTCCCTTTCTTTTTCTATGCATAGTTCACTCATCGTTCCATTAGGTGGAGCTTTGTGATTAAGTCTGCAAAAGAAACTTCCTTCCAAGTGCAAAATAATTCCCCACGGCATGGGTGGGGGAGCAGGAGAAAGACGTGTACTTTGCTTAGAGGTATCAGTGTCCCGTGTGCAAGCTTGATACACAAAAATCTGTATCCAGACCCTCACACACAATGAAAATAGCTTGAAAAATCGACTCTGTCAAATGGAACGCTGCTCTAATCTGCTGTTATCATAGACAAGTTTTAAATCTGAAATACCTTAGGTTATAAATTAAATGTCAAATATAATTAATTTGGCACTTGAAATATGACGTGGATGACTGTCCTTTAGAGAAAGCCTGACAGCTTTATGTATGTCACGTTGGTATCTGTTAAAACGAGCTTTACACGCCAGACAGTCCTAGTGTGAATCATATTGCTGTTAGCTGTACCAGAATTTTGTCAATGTAATAGGTCTCTGAAC